CCATCTCCACCTTCTTATCAGCGCCGGGTTTCCGCTCTGCCGAACGACGTGTTGGCGAGAATCGCCGGGTCGTTCACGCTGCCGAACCTGAGAGCAGCTTCACTCGTGTGCAGAGCGTGGAGGGACGCGCTGAAACCCTTGCGCGAGGCGATGGGTTTCTTGAAGTGGGGGAAGAAGTTCAAGCATGGGAGTGGAGGGGTGAAGGCCGATTTGAGCAAGGCGTTGGATTATTTCCTGGAAGGGGCGGCGCGTGGGTCCACTCTCGCCATGGTGGATGCGGGCTTGATTTATTGGGAAGTTGGTAAAAAGGAAAACGCCGTCGTTTGGTATAGGAGAGCAGCTGAACTCGGTGATTCTGCTGGACAGTGTAATTTGGCTATTTCGTTTTTGCAAGGTAACGTTCTTCTAATTTGTGATCTCTTTATAAATTTAATGTTTTTGCTAACTGTGATTAGTCTGATAATGTAATGATTATGGATTTGATTGGTGGTTTATGTCTACGTTTCAGCAAATCCTTCAAACACGAAAGAGGCAATCGAGTGGCTATACAAGGCTTCCGTTTCTGGCCATGTTCGCGCGCAGTATCAACTCGCCCTCTGTCTGCATCAAGGTCGAGGGGTGGAACAGAATTCACAAGGAGCGGTAAAATACGACTCGGCTCTGTTATATTTCTTGTTTTAATTTCTGAGTCGATACATGAAGTTTCGATCTTTCTAACGCAGATTTATAGCTTAGTATTCATGTATATTATTAGGATCGAGGATTTCTAGTATTGATTCGACTGAAGATTTTTTACTTATCATGAATTTCTAATATCTGATAGGCTCGTTGGTATTCGAAAGCTGCACAAGGGGGATACGTGCGCGCAATGTATAATACGTCGCTGTGCTATTCACTAGGTGAAGGAGTATGGCAGTCTCATGTACTAGCAAGAAAATGGATGAAAAGAGCAGCCGATCGTGGTCACAGCAAAGCCCAGTTCGAGCATGGATTAACCCTCTTTTCGGTACGCATACTAACAACAACGTTGTAATTTAATTCGGTTCGAAATTCAAGAAACTGCGTGACACGAAACTGATGCTAAAATAGGAGGGAGACTTGATGAAGGCTGTCGTGTACCTAGAGCTTGCCACAAGAGCCGGCGAAACCGCCGCTGCACACGTAAAGCATGTAATACTCCACCGACTCTCGTCAACTTCTCGTGACAGAGCAATGCATCTAGCCGACACCTGGCTTGCTAAGCCTTCCACTCGATGATTCGTATTTTAAACTTTTAATCCTTTTTCTTTTTAACTTGTTCACTACTCTTATGAGAAACACTTTTATTTATATATTAAAAAAAAAACAAAAAATCCAAAATTACATGTAGAGATTCATATATATATATATATATATATATATATATATATATATATATATATATATATATATATATATATCTATGGGGCTAAAAATGGCCTTTGAGCAAGCATACCAGAGTGCGATTGATGAAAAACGCTCAAATGATAAATCGCTTGATGTATCAATTCTTTCAGTTCCGGATGTTGAGCAATAAACGCTCGATCGACCCCCTCGAAAGCGTTAAGCACTCCCGCTCTTTCCAAATCCTCGCTCTTTCCAGCGTGCACTGCAAGGTAACACACGAGTATCAATCCGTTCAGCTGGGCACGCTCGTTGTTCCACCTCAGCAACCTCATGAGTGGTGGGACCCCACCGAACTCGATAATCGTCTTGGAATGTTCCACACACAGAAAATTCTCCGGACAAACGAACTTTGAAAGGGAAATAGCAGCTTCTATTGCCACTTCTTGATTCCTATGACTCAGCTGTTCGACTAGTGGACCGATGATTTTAGTTTCTCTCGCAGGGAATGCTCTGGCCAACGACCCTATAGCCCTTATTGCCGCCACATGCAGCGTCGGTTCGTCGGAATCTTTAGCCACCACCCTGAGAAGCTGATCCACAACCGCCTTTGCCGCCGGGGAATTCGTCTTGAAAGTTGCTCGCCGGAGATCCGCGTTGGATTCTGCTGCAGTGGTTATCTCCATTATCGTCATTAAACTGTTTTTCTGCAATTCTCCTTCCTCGGTTTCCACAAGCTTAGCTAAACAGAGGAGCCCTTTGGTTTCTGCTATTCGTTTACTATTGGCTACGCTCCCTTTAGCCAGCATCCATAATGCTCTGGCGCAAGTGGATTTCAGAGAGAGTTTCACTTGTGGATTCTCGTTTTCTCTCTCCTTTCGTTGACTCGTTACTGCTCTCTTACTGTACGAACTGGTCTTGTTTTCCATCTCCTTGTTGATGAGGACGAGGGTGTGGATGCTTTGTTTGCTGTGTTTGAGGGTAGAATCGTCCATTGACAAATCGATCGATAACAATGTCACGAGTGGTCTGATGGCGTTTACTCGAGCGAAATCTTCTTGCGCGAGAGGGGAATGCTCTGCCATTGTAGCTACTAGGTTTGCTACTGTGATTTGGGCCTTCATGGGCGAATCGGATAAGACTTGCACGATGATCGGCACTCCTGATTGGTCGATGATGGATCCGACTCGTTCGATGTCGTTGGCTAAATTTTGGAGTGCCGAAGCGGCTGCGATTTGGGCTTGACTGGAGGAACTGTCTTTGAGGAGTTTCAACAATGGCAGAACCCCACCTTCATCAACTATGATCTGTTTGTTTCTGTCGTTGTCTTTGGCTAAGGAAGATAACTCGGTGGCGGCTTCGATTTTGTCTTGGAGTTGGCCCATGTGGAGGGCGGCGATAAACGACCAGACCCATGAGATTATAGGGTCGTTGGCGGCGATGGGGGGGAGACTGAGGACGATGCCGCCGGCGCCGGCGCCGGATTCGAAGATGCTGAGGACCCACTTCATGTCCGCGGCGGAGGATTCGAGGAGGTTGAGGAGCTTCCGGAAATCCGCGGCGGAGACGATGGTGACGACGCGGCGGAAGAAGCTGCCCCGGCGGCATTTTCTGACGAGGGTTAGGGTTTTCTCGAGGTTCTTGGAGACGTCGGCGGCGATGCGGCGGAGGGGGCGGCTGTAGAAGGCGGCGTCGGAGGTGGAGAGGCGGGCGGCGGAGCGGAGCATTTGGCGGAGGCGGTCGACCTGCTTTCCGACGAGGGAGCACTCGAGTTTGAAGATTTTGGCCTCCTTGACGGATTCGTTGATTTGGTCGGATAATAAGATCGGGAAGGATAAAACATCTTCGATTCGCTGTTCTTGCTGCTCGATCGTTGTCTGTTTCTTCTGGGTTTGTAGCTTCTGGGGAATTGCTTGTATCGTCGTCGTCGCAGTTGATGTGGGTTTCGCCGCCATTGTTGCAGAATCGAGAAACTGTAAAAACAAAAATATAATATTTTTGGGGGAAAATTTAACGGAGATTTCGACAAATCACTGACGGAGAGATTCGCACAAAGAGTGAATTTTTCTTGCGTGCTGCGTTTTGAGTGGTCTGACGAATGTGAGATGACGAGTTGAGGAAGACGGAAGGGCAATTACGTAATTTCATTTATCTTTTTTTGTTTATCGCATGTTTGTCTGTCGTACAGTTGTACGCTGTTGATTTTTAACTCATTATCTGACGGTCTGAACTCTGACCTGTAATATTATTATTATTATTATTTTAATTAAATAAAGTGATTAGTCCATTTTCTGGTCAGAAAATATATTTTCTTAATTATCTGGAAGAATTAAAAAAATAATAGTTTAATGGTGTTTAAAAAAATCAGGATTAAGCAAAATGATTATTATATTGTTTTAATTTATGGACATGAGTCGTTTGATTTGAATCTAATTCAGTAATTTGAGATGATTGCGTATTGGGAGTAATGGTTTTTGTTACAACTAATTAGGGTAATTTAATTGACCTTTAACACTAATTGACTGCAATTACTACCAACGGATCCAAACATTATACTAATAAAAAAAAGTTCTACCATAATTTTCTCATTAAGACAAAAGTTCTATTCACTCCTCTTCATCCTAGATCTGAATCTCTCCTTTTACTGACGACCGTCGTGGATGCACCATCATCTAGACATTAAATACCTCCACCGATGTCGAGGAGTCTGGACATCAAAACATTTTTACCGCCGCCGAGGCACCACCGTGTAGGCATCAATCATCTTCACCGTCGGAACTGAAACAACTCTCCTCTGATATACCGGTATTTTCCTTCTCTACGCCCCCAACCAACACATTGCGTGGCAGAAATTCTCTCATCCGTCCAATACACTTCAGTTTTTCTGCCATCAATTTTAGTATTATTATGTCGCAGTTTATGTAATCGACTATAGTTGATTAATAAATCAACTATGTCTTTTTATAATTAATTTATTGTTTTCAGGTCTAATATACACGTTACATTCAGTTTAATTCAAAATTTCGTGGAAAAAAAAATATAGTTGATTCTCACTAATTATTTCCAAATAATGAACCTATCTTAATGCAATTTCAAAACGGAGAGTTTTCACTAATTTTCCCAAAGAAAAAACAATAGTAGAATTTGTAGTGAATTAAAACATTGGATACTCCTAATATTGATTCTCTCTCAATTATACATCAAGGCAAAAAGAAAAAAAAAATAAAAAAAAAAGAAGGGTCTAGAAACAAACATAAAATGCCAGATATCAATAAGCCACCACAACCACAATTCACATTCCATAAATCTTACTTCTTTTGTTGTAATAAGTAATAACATGCAAATGCCCTTTTGTAGTCCCCATTCAACACTTTCCATTTTGTATGTACTCATCTCATAATCAACCTTTTCTTCACATGCATCATGCCATCAACTCATAGTACAAATTATACAAGATTTCACGGACTCGTAAAATAGATTATATTGAATTTAACACCATATGAATTGACGTGTAATAAGATTCATATAGTCGATGTGGTGGTTGTAATTACCAGTTAATAAGAGGGTATTTTGGTAATTTAACATTAGCTCAGAGGGTAGCCGTAATTTACCCTATAAATAAAACAATTAAAACGAAACGAAGTCAATTCGTTGATTTTCACATAACATAGAAATGGCCTGGAATCAATAATCCCTTAACATACAAAAGAACAAAGTATCGATAAATCGTACTTTTTGTTTGGTTATTGTTAATACGTTTGCACCAATACGAGCAAATATTACGTGAACGTTAAAATACGAACACGTACATATTTCCGATTGAAATTTGGAAAACCTACCCCTAGCTAGCATTCTTTTTAAAACCGAAAAAAACGTAGTTCATGCAGCTTCATAATCTACTAAAACCGAGCCATCAATACTGGAATCATTATCGTAACTTAGCTCATCGGTAAAGCTAATTTGTGATCCTTGATCGTCGTCTTGAACTAGGGCATTATTTGCATTATTGGCATCTGCAATATTTGCATTGACATTATTTATATTGCCATTGGCATTGTTTGCATTGCCTTCTTCGACAACATCTTCGTTATCACTCTCTTCCGAGGCATCATCTATTTGCAAATGAAACTCGGGATTCAAGACTCCAAATTCTCGAGAGTTAAACGACAACGCTTGTTTCACGTCGAACACGAGTACGCATTCTTCGTACAGTTGAAAGGCATTAACCATGCAGTATCTTTCATAGTCCGTCTCCTACAAAACGAAAATAAAAAAGTGTACTTACGGAATTCTTCATAACAATTCCGAATTTTCAATAAAATTTTAATTAAAACTTAAAAAAAACCGTACTTACTTGACGACCGCGACACAAATTCCTATCCACGGTAACCTTTTTCGTAACGGTGTCGAAGTACACACCATCGGTAGAAATAAAAGTTTTGAATGATAGGAAACGGTTTTGGAGCCATTGGACCCTCATTGTGATTTCAACAACGTTGAAATCTCTCGCGAACGCTGATTCATCGCGGTACGCACTTCGTGGATGACGTCGTCGTAACTTGTTCGTCTTGCAGTGAAGGAAGAGGCTGCGCAATTCTTGCAGCACTTTGCATTAGGTATTCGTCGTAACCGTATGGCCAATCTACCCCAACTGCCATATATTATCAATGCACCAAACATGAATATACATACATATATACATGCAGAGAGAGAGAGAGAGAGAGAGAGAGAGAGAATAAAACTGCTTGGAAGATGAAAATGACCATTGGGAAATAATGCCGGGACAACAAGCAAAGCATGGCG